ACAACGCTGACAACTTTGTTTTTTTTCCCCTCTCCAGCTGTCCCCCCACTGTGTGGATGATGTCTAAGTGCAAATCTTTGTGGTTCTTCCAGGTCCACGGGCTGCTGGACGCCCTGGTGACTGACCTGATGGTCCTGGCTGACGAGCTCAGTCCCATCAAGGATGCCGAGGAGCCTTTGCGTCTCTGCAGCTGACTCTGAGCCCCAGCAACTTGAAACTGGTTAACAAATCAATAAAGCACTTTAGATTTCCACCACTTCTGCTGTGCCTGTGTCTTGGCTGTTGAGTCTCGATGAGGTCGGCTGGTGGCCCAGGTACTTCCACGTCTCCCCTGTCCTCAATACCCCTCCTCCCAGTTCTCAGAGCTGTCAGTGGGAGGAGGTTCGAGTCCTGGACCTGTTGGCTTAAACTCACACCGGGTGCATGTGCATGCATGCCAATGATCTCAAGACGAGAATGGAGAAGAGATTGTGGCATAGCTATCCCCCGGTAGGGTGATTTCTCACTTTCTGTCTCTCTGTCTCTCTGTGTCTTTCTGGTGAGCACATGTGCTCTATAGCAAAAACCGCTCTAAAAAAAAAGATTAATTTTAATTTTTAAAAATTTTTTTGGAGAGTTTTGTTTGTTTTTTGCTATAGGGTGCATGCGTTTAAACCACCGGATCTGGGACTCGAACCGCGGTAGACTACATGGGAGTCCAATGATATAGCCATTATGCTAACTACTGGTCCCAAGGAGTTTTGTTTGTTTTTTGCTATAGGGTACATGCGTTTAAACCACCGGATCTGGGACTCGAACCGCAGTCGACTACATGGGAGTCCAATGATATAGCCATTATGCTAACTGCTGGTCCCAAGATTTATTTAATTTTACTTAATATTATTATTTTTTAATTTGACCAGAGAAAGACAGAGAGAGTAAGAAATGGAAAGTGAGAAAGCAAGTCATCAGGTCTGGAACTTGAACCACAGTTGGCCATGTGGGAGTCCAGCACCTTAACCACTACACCACCTGCTGGTCTCTTCTTAAGTAGCAGGTCCTTAGAGATTCACCCAGGTTTGCTCTGTTTGTTACTGTTGTCTGTTTTGGAGGGGAGATGCACTAAGCCATGTTCAGTATGCCCATGTGTCTAATGGGGACACTTCCTCTTCCTCTGATGTGGACAGCTGGGGAACTGGGATTACACTGTGCACCGTGGTAATATGTTGGATCTCATCTGATCAGAAGTTCCACTTTCTAACAGGCCTGGCATGCACACACATGCCCAGATCCTGACAGGATGGAGAGTCGGAGGAAAAAGGATGGCAGTGTAATCGGGCCCCATTGCTGGGGGTGCTCCCTCCCTTCCTTCCCTTTCTCTCATCCTTTCACACGCACACATGCTCTGTCATTAAAAGAAGTTCCATTTTCTGATGGTCAGTGGGACCTAGAACATAATTAAAGGGCTCTGAGGATGCATGGAGGCTCTTTGAAATTCAGAATCAACTTGCCTAGGCATGTGTGCTCCAAACTATTGGAGAACTCAGGCTTGGAGACCTTTCAGTATATGGATCTGTGGTCTTAGAGGAAGGAAAATCGGCCTCCAGGAGGCCAGAGTAGAATTGGAGCAGAGCCCAGGTCCACCCAAGGTCTAAATGAGCACTGTTCCATGGAGTTGCACCTCTAGCATCTCTAGGCCCTAGTGCCATATGAGAAAGGGCCCAGTGCAGTCTTCAGGCTGGCTTGAAAGATAAAACTGAGGGCTGGCAGGTGGTGTGGTGGTTAGGGCACTGGGCTCCCACTTGGCCAACCACAGTTTGAGTCCCGGACCTGGTAGCTTGCTTTCCCACTTTTCCTTTCTCTCTTTCTCTCTTTGGTTAACTTGAATAATAATAATAATAATAAACAAAATTAAATTTTTTAAAAAAAGGAGAAGAACTGTGTGCAAAAACAGACGTTTACAACGCTGACAACTTTGTTTTTTTTCCCCTCTCCAGCTGTCCCCCCACTGTGTGGATGATGTCTAAGTGCAAATCTTTGTGGTTCTTCCAGGTCCACGGGCTGCTGGACGCCCTGGTGACTGACCTGATGGTCCTGGCTGACGAGCTCAGTCCCATCAAGGATGCCGAGGAGCCTTTGCGTCTCTGCAGCTGACTCTGAGCCCCAGCAACTTGAAACTGGTTAACAAATCAATAAAGCACTTTAGATTTCCACCACTTCTGCTGTGCCTGTGTCTTGGCTGTTGAGTCTCGATGAGGTCGGCTGGTGGCCCAGGTACTTCCACGTCTCCCCTGTCCTCAATACCCCTCCTCCCAGTTCTCAGAGCTGTCAGTGGGAGGAGAGAAGACACACCTGGGGACGTCATGTGTGGGAGGACCAACAGGAGGGTGAGTTGGTAGCAGGACAAGGAATGAATCAGGGGACAGGACAGACAGCATCACCCCATGGTTCCTGCCTCTGGCTTTCCTCAGCTCACACTTTGAGGGTCATGTTTCCTGGAGCCAGGTCTTCCCCAGCTTGTCATCGCTGAGTATGACGATGCGTGGGGCTAGGAGAACTACGTCCTGTGGGACTGGCTCCCTGAGATGTTTCCACTTCAGCTGGGGCCTCGAGACCCATCCAGTCCCCGAAGATCATGCCCACCAGCCCTCTTAATCTCTGGAGGCCAGACCCCCTTGTCCTCAGCCAGAGGTTGTTATTTGGGGTTCTCACCAGGCCTTGATCAGTTGCTGCATCTGGGGCTGCCTGCCTTGCTCAGAGGAACGTGAAGCAGGTTAGAGATGACCCTTGGAAAGAAAGGCACTGTCGGCTCCAACTCAGTACGAGAACTGTCTTCTGTAACAGCTATGCTTGGGCTGGGCTCCCAGAGTTTGAAGAAAGCTTTGCTACTGGCCAGGGGACTTATGGTCTGTAAGTGCACACAGAGGAGAAGTGAGGTAGGGAGACTGAGAAAGTGGCCACAGGCTCAGAGCCCCTCAGATTTACATTTGGTGTTTCTGATAAGTTTGGTGAGAACAGAACACCCCATCCCCGTGTTGGAGAAGCAGAGGGGGCCATGCCTGGAGTTGTTTGTTTGCTTTTTTGAAGAAATCTTTGCTATAAGGCACATGTGCTCACCAGAGACACACAGAGAGAAATTGAGAAACCACCCCCACTCTGGGGGATGGCCACGCCACAATCCCTTCTCTTCCATCCTCGGCTTGGGATTTTGGGTATGCACACATACATACATACCCAGCGTGAATTTCAAGCCATCGGGTCTGGGACTTGAACCACAGTCAGCCATGTGGGAGTCCAGCACCTTAACCACTACATCACCTGCTGGCCCCATGCCTGAAGTCTTGATACCACTTCTGTGGTAGCCTACAGAAGGCTGTAACTCCACCGAAGCACCAGCCCTAGGATGGTCCTGCCCTCTCCTTTCATGTCCTCCTGACACAGAGTAGGGGTGAGTGGGGTGCTGGAGCACCGCTGGCTGTTTCCTGTAGAGGAGGCAGGGGAAGGGTTAACTCACTGCAGGATGGGAACAGGTCACAGCACCTCCAGGTCAGCAGGCCTCCCAGCTCTCTGAAAGCACCACCTGCCCGGCTAGCAGGAAGGGGTTAACTGCCCTGCGCTTCCTCCTGTGTCCTGTTACTGCTGAGGCAGACCTGCCTGGCCAGCTGAGCAACTTTCCTCCCTAGCCGCTGCCGGCTGGCCGTGGCTGGCCCTATCTGGGACCGACAGGCAGAGCTGCTTGGGGCAGAGCTGCTACCCACAGTGGGGACCTTGCCACCGCCCTTCCAAGGGGTCTAGGCCTCCTGGGCAAGGGTGGGTCTCTGGATGAGGTTCCATGGTGGATGGCTCTGGAGACGCTCCTGCTCCCAAGGCTGAGCGATCTCCCTGCTGTACAGGTCGGAGGGTCACTGCGGAGGCTGTTCAGGCTGGGGCCAGGCCCAGGGAGCCCACCCAGGAGGTAAGCCCCCCAGACCTCCTGGCAGCGGTGGGCCCTGCATGGAAGGCGGAGCCGAGTGGGCTTGAGGGAGTCTTTTACCCAGGTATGGGGGGTGGGGGGCAGCCTGGGCCATAGAGGACCTGGGGGCTTCTTGCTGTTGCCTGCCCCCTCCCTGCTGCCCTTAGGAAGGAACTCAGGGCTTCACTCAGGGCCTTGCTCTGTCCCAGGGACTTAGCACATTCGGTGGCATTCCCCAAGACTGTCTGTCTCTGCGGTTCCCTGTTTCCCAGTCCCAGGAGTCTCTAGCCTCAGGGCAGCCCCCACTCCAGTGCCCCCAAGCCACAGCTCTCCCAGGGCTGCTTAATTGCACTAGGACAAGGGGAGTTCCCCACCCTCTAGCAGTGGATAGGAACTGCCACTCCCCCCTCCCCATGCCCTGGCTCTACCTGAAAAGGAGCTGGAGCAGCCTTTGCCTTAGCAGAGGGTGGAGAGAGGCCCCAGACCGGAGGGGGCACACACAGACTTTGGACAAACTCACGCACGTGGGAGTGGACGGTTCTGGGCTCTTTCCGTCTCTCTGAACCTGCTCTGGGGATGCCTTCTCAGTCCTGACTCCGGAATCCCCAGAGTCCCCAGGTCGCTGGTCCTGAGGACCCTGCAGAGCAGCCCCTGCTCTCTGGGAGCCCATGTAGCTCAGAGCTGCCCACCCCTAGCAGCCCCCTCCCTCCTCTGCCATGCACCCTCCTGCCTGCCTGCCCTCTCCCCATCTCTGAATGGCCTCTCAGTCCCTGCCCTCTCAGCGTCCTTCCCTCCACCTGACAGGGTCTGGCTCAAGGTCACTGCAGTAATTCCATACCCGGCGGCCGGGCTGCCGCCGCAGCCACCACTGCCGCTGCCTTATCAGCCGCTGGGTTTCTGTTTCACTCCCTTTTATTTCTGGGCATATTGTGTTCGATAAAACCCTTTGCTTGTAGCACCGCTGGCAGGGCTCCCAGCTGCTCCCTCCCGCGCTCCTTCCTCCCTCCTCTCTTCAGTCCACGCTCCCTCAGCCTCACCCTGCCCCCCTCCTCCCTATCTCATACCTCAAACTGCAGGAGAGGAAGGTCAGGCACCTCCCCAAGACTCTGATCCCTGCTCCCCAGCTCCAGCCGAGGCGAGGCGTGCAGTGCACCCACCTCCAAGTAAAGTCCAGGCAGGGCCGCACACTGAGGGCCCCTCCCACTAAGGCTGGTGCCCTGGTCCCAGCCAGGCAGGGGCCAGAGCAGCCAAGCCCAGGAAGGGCTCCTCGGAGTCAGGATGCCTGACTGGTTCTGCTGGTTCCAGCAACCGACAGGCAGGGAGGAGGGAGCCCTGGGCGGGCTCTGGTGCGCCATTCTTCCCATCTCCACTCTGCCACCCGCCAGCCTGCCTTGGGGAGGAGAGGACAGGTCTGAGTCACTAGCCAGGGGGAGGGCAGGAGTTAAAGGAGTTGTGGCCGTGGTATCCCCACAGAAGCCTGCCACGGCTGGACAGAAAGACAGACAGCACCCGACAGAAGCTGGACAGCGCTTTCGGACAGGTATTCACTTTATCAATCCTACCAGATCCCACCCTCTGGGCCAAAGCTCTCCCTAGCACCTGGGCCGTGATAAAACCTGCCAAGGCCTGTGCCCTGCTTCCTGCTGGCAGGGCTGGGCAGAGGGAACAGGACCTTCTCCTCCAGATTTCTCCTTCCCACCGCCTGGGGGCTGCCAGGCTGGGGATGGTAGGTGGAGTGAGAGGAGTCTTCAAGGGTGTTGGGTGGGCACGGGTGAAGTGGCAGCTCTATAGGCCAAGCCAGTGTGTGTGTGTGTGTGTGTGCATGTGTGTACATGTGCACACCATGCATGCACACACACCCATATTATGGCCAGAGGAAAAGGGGCGGGGC